CATCATGATAGGTCATGTCAAGCAGATGGTAGGTTATGAATAATAATGATCAAAGCCTCGTGCTGCCTGCAGAAGAGCTGGAGGCTTCATCTTGTGCCTTTTGTTTTGAGGTCTCTTATCTTAACTTCACTGATTATGATGCCTGACACTGCTGCCAAGAGAGGTCACCATCAGATCTGACCTTTTGAAACCCTGCAAGTGTGTGCCAAATTAAGCTCTTGCTGAACCCAGTCTGGAGAAAGGAGAAAACTCTCCTTCTTTATGCCTTATTTATAAAGGAAATGCTTCAGAACATGTATTTGCTTTTTTTTGTTCAGTTATTTTTTCTAGCTCTGCTATAATTTATAACACAGTAGAAATCATTGATTCCATACCCAAGAGCTTTGGGTATTGCTGTGGCGTCTTCCTTGATTTCTGGTGCCTCTGTTATATGTATTGTCACCAAAATGAATGACCCAGTCAGCACATATGTGCTTCACTTTGTAGTCTGTTTCTGTTTTGAGTTTGCAGTATTGTTTCCTGATTGCTTTGGTGAACACAGTGATTTGCTCTCCACGGGCTGCGAGGAAGTGCAGTGCCTAGTCAGGCCAGCAGAGAGCACACTCTGGGTGTTTGTGTAAGTGAGGTGCTGAAAACTCAGAGGACTTGCGGATTATTCTTTATTCTTTTTTAATTGCTTTGACTGAAATTGTAAAACTCTTTAAACTCCCAACTTCCAAAACAAAACTATAGTCTGCAGTAAGCTATAAACACTCCAGCTAACTCCTAATACTGGGCCTGGAATCAAAAACAGCTTGATGATTAGATACTCTAAACAGTTGTTTGTTTATGTATATAGGTTTGCAGTGACCATGTGTACATGAATGTATATTTATTAATTTGCATACTGCTGTGCAGTTGTCCTTTAATCTGCAGAGCAACATGAAAGTGAAAGAAGAGAGCAAGTTAGAGCGTGCTGCTGTTTTATTGTGTAAGAGGCTGTAGAAAGGTGAAGAGCACTAGAGAGTAGAGGCGTGATGAGGAGAAAGGCCTCCATGCAGAGGCTGTAATTGGTTAGAGATTGATGGGCTTGATGGATGCAGGTGTGTGTATGTGAGAGAGAGAGAGAGAAAGAGAATTGATGGTATTGACTGCTGTAGATGACTCAGCTTTGTTTGGGTGGAACACAAAGAAGCAGCTGGCTGACCAGGTTAAAGATCAGACACACACGCTTGCAGCTATCAATTATCTTAGACCCACATCACTTAACTAATGAAGTCATTTGAGCATTTTGTTGGAGAGTGTGAAAAACAGTGTTGCTTTGCATATAAACCCTTTCTGCTTCTGCTGCCTGGCTGCTCTTTATCACACACACACACACACACACACACTCTCAGTGGTCTTTCTGCCAATGTGAAAGCACAGACAGTAAGCAATATGAGTGCCAGCTGATGATCTTTGCACTGTTTCCCTCAGGACCATCACTATTTAGCTCAGAGTGTGTGTGTGTGTGTTAGAGGTCTGCACAGGCCTAAACCCGACCCATATCTGTGATTTTCAGACCCAGCCCAATCCGGACTGACTGGTCCTGATATATTTAAATCTGAACCCGATCCGTACCTGCTGGCATGCATAAAGAGAGATGGATTATCTCAGACAAGGTTTTACAGTGTTTTGCTTTATTTCTAATGCCTGGCCCGAATCCCAATATTTTATCAGGTTTATTTGCAGACCAACAGTCTGATTCTCGCTGACAGGCAGGTCCCAGCATGCTGTAAGGATGCTGAACTGTGGGAGGCGCTAAATCGCTGACCAGTAGCAGAACACACAGATACAACTGCATCTAGATGGCTCTCTCTCTCTGTTTCTCACTGTCTCTCTCTGTTTCTCACTGTCTCTCTCTGTTTCTTACTGTTTCTCTCTCTGTTTCTCACTGTCTCTCCCTGCCTCTCACTGTCTCTCTCTGTTTCATACTGTTTCTCTCTCTGTTTCTCACTGTCTCTCTCTGTTTCTTACTGTTTCTCACCATCTCTCTCTGTTTCTTACTGCTTCTCTCTCTGTTTCTTACTGCTTCTCTCTCTGTTTCTTACTGTTTCTCTCTCTGTTTCTCACTGTCTCTCCCTGTTTCTCACTGTCTCTCTGTTTCTTACTGTTTCTCTCTCTGTTTCTTACTGTTTCTCTCTCTGTTTCTCACTGTTTCTCTCTGTTTCTCACTGTCTCTCTCTGTTTCTTACTGTTTCTCTCTCTGTTTCTCACTGTCTCTCTCTGTTTCTTACTGTTTCTCTCTCTGTTTCTTACTGTTTCTCTCTCTGTTTCTCACTGTCTCTCTCTGTTTCTTACTGTTTCTCTCTGTGTTTCTCACTGTCTCTCCCTGTTTCTCACTGTCTCTGTTTCTCTCTCTTTCCCCCTGTCTGTCTGTCTGTCTGTCTGTCTCTCTCTCTCTCTCTCTCTCTTACTCTCTCTATCTCTCTCTTTCTCTCTCTCTCTCCAGCCCACTTAAAAAGGTGTTAGAACAGCATAAACGTTCACAGTGTACCAGGACCGCTAGATATATATTTATCACACCCACACAGTCACACACACACACACGCACACACACACAGTCACACACACGCACACACACACTTGCACACAGCAGTCTGTGGTTGTTTGAGAACCCCACGCTTTCTGTGACGTAGCAAACCATATACTGGAATAAACCGGCTCCATCACTATAGCAACTGTCTGATCTGTGATTAGCTAAGGAACAAGTGCACACCGAGCATAAGAAGAAACACACAAACTCACACGCCCACACACACTAAGCACTTCTGTAAGGGAGAGAAAAGGAGGTAAAGAACAGAGGAAATCAGATAGAGAAGTCCCAGATTGCCTGCCTCCCTCTCTCTATCTCTCTCTCTCTCTCCTCAGTTTTTGTATTTTTGGAGTCAGTATTAAGGCTGCTTTTCCATGGCCTACTTCCGCAGCTGCTGATGGTGAGAGGAGGTAAAATTCTATGAGACTCCCGTGAGCACATATATACACACACACATACACACACACACACACACACACACACACACACACACACACACACACACATATACAGACACACACACACACACACATAGTGGACAGACTTTTTAGCCTAACTGCCTTTTTTATTAAGCATCATCAGGCCATCATTACTGTTTGCACTGCACATTCTGCATATGCAGATGGGTCAGAAAATAAAGGGAAAAATAAGATGTATAATGAGTGCAAAATGCTTCCGGACAGGTGTACTGTATGATACAAACAATTAACAGTCTACCATTCTCAGAGGTATGTATAAAAGTGCTGAGCAGGTCCAGTTGACCTTAATTTTGGATCTAGGTAGGCAAGAAGAAAAGATATAAGTGACTTTAAATGAGGGTTCATTATTGCGGCATGGATGGCAGGAGCTTCAACTTCTATACTGGCTAGTGTATCAATAGCAGGTACTGCTACTAAAGTGGCTGCATTTAGATCTGTGGGAAAGACATTTGCAATATGGGTTGGAAATTGTGGTGGAAAGCACACATTCAGTGAGTGTGATGCTCATTTATTAGTGTGTTATGTCAGGAAAAACAAGAGCAAGTGTTCTTCAGGTAACTGAGACTGTCAGTGCAGACTGCGTCAGCAAGAACAGTATGTCCACAGCTACATAGAGAGGGAGTAGTGCGTACCGTATCCTCAGAGACCTCATTGGTGCAAAAACCATCAGCACTGATCTACAAAAAGTAATAAATGGTAAGTCATCGACAAGTGAGAGAGTGCATGTGTGGTGTACACAAACATAATGGGACAGGCCTGAATGCTGGACCCCTGTAGTGGGGGGTCCGGCGGCTATGTTATGCTATAGGGGACATTTTGCTGGCATGGTTCCGGTTCCTTAGAGGAAAGGGTCACGGCAAATAAATACATATCAAATGGTGTGCAAGCAGTTCCATTTGTGTGTTTAAATAAGGTTTAATGTATAGTATTTAGTATTTGTATTTAGTATTGTCTCATATTGTGTATGAGACACACACACATGCACAATGAGGTCAAGAGCATGTACATTTGCGTATATTCAGTTTGCATCGTATATGCTTTAAACTATAGTGTTCACTTTCAAACGTGCTCATCTGTGTCTCTGTGCACAGTTGTGTGTTTATTTGAGCGTCATCTTTGTCTTCCGTGTACATGGTTGCTCATGCTGCATTGCCCTCAGATGTGTGATCACGTGGTTATGGTTTTTTTGTAGACATACTTCTGAAACATACAGTACAAGCAGAAAAAGATCAAATATTGGTGTATGCATTGCATTTGCTCTCTTACGTTTTTGCAGGCTTTTTAGTGTTTGTATTTCTAGCTCACTATTCTTGACCATGTTCAAACTGTGTTCATTTGAGAGTGTTTGGGGGAATTTTTATAGGCTCTTCTGTTCAGAATGCAGACGCTGCGATCGTGCAGAACGCTGTCCCCATTTTACATGTGAGCAAGTGCCAAGCATAGTTACAGTAACCTCAGCACAACCTCGTTTCTCCTTGCTAGAAATGAGGTCTGAATGAGGGGGGTGAGAGAGAGAGAGAGAGAGAGAGAGAGAGAGACAGAGAAAGAGAGAGAGAAAGAGAGAGAATATAATATAGTATCAGCCCCCTTATGATATCAGCCCCCTTATGATGACAGCCCCCTCCAGGGCTCCATATCTTTCCCTGTCATTCTTTCTGTTGCTCAGTCATATAGAAACAGATCCATCTGCTGGAAAAGCAAAAGAGAAATGAAATAGAGAGCACTGATGGGGAGAGAGTGCTGAGAGGAAGCCCACAGCTACAGCAGCAGAGACGACAGCTGTAAAATGGAGGGAGAGATAGAAATAGAGAGAGGAGAGGCATGGGAGAGAAAACAAGACAGAAAGGGGAAAGTATATATGTGCCGCGTTGCCCAGAGATACAGAATGTCGTAACAGGATGGAGGAAAGGGAGGGAGAGGGGGAGGGAGGCATGGCCTGGGCCGTGGGAGGGGACGATAGAGTGAGGGAGAGAGGGATGGGTGCATTTTGCCCTCCCTCGCTCCACAGCACTCCCCTCCCCTTAGGCAGTGGTTTAGCCCGCTGCGTTCACAGCCTCTGTTGTTGTGCAGAGCTGCAGAAGGGCCTGCCGAGCCAACCACTGCGCTGAGAGAGAGAGAAAGAGAGAAAGAGAGTGAGAGAGAGCGCAAGCAGCAGCAGCAGGCAGACAGCGTGAGGGAGTTCCAACCGTTCATTTCATCATCAACCAGGAAACAAATGACAGCAGCAAAGGGCAGCAGAGGACGACAACGTCAGAAGGAGGAATAAAAAGAAGAAAGAAATCCTCCGAGCCTGGAAAAAGAAACAGTGAAAGGAGAGACTGAGTAAAGAAAGGAAGGAAGGAAGGAGGGAGGGAGAGGGGTGAGGAGGGGCTCCTCACGTCGTCGGAGTCTCCTCGCTCACACGCAGCAAGATTTGGCATTCTCTGGATCGCTTCTCTTTCTTCGTTTGCCCTCCATCCTCTCATTTTCTTTGAGAAAGAGGGGAGAGGAGGAGGAGGAGGAGGAGGAGGCAGCCCCCCCCACGCCTCCCGGCTGAGACGAACAGCACAGAGAGGAGGTGAAGAGGGGGAGACGCTAAGGAGAAGGAGAGACGGATAGAGACAGATAGAGAGAGAAAGAGAGCGTGGTTTTATTCGTTCCTTGTTGCCTCTGTCGTTCCTTTGGGAGCGAGCGGCTGGAAGCCTCCGCTCATGTCCGTCAACTCGGAAAAATCCTCGTCCCCGGAAAGGTAACATGTCTCAACACATCGTAATATGTGTCCTTTCTTTTATCCTCAGCTTCTCATTTACCTGTCTGTATGACTCACTGTCTCCTGCCCTCCATTCCACCTCCACTCCATCTACCTCTCCATCTTTTTCTCTCCGTCTCTCCATCTCTCTCTACGTCCGTATGCATTGTAAGCAGACTGCTGTCTTCTTTTATTGTCTGCGTTAGCCTTAGCACGCTGATCTGGAGGAGGAGAACGTATGCATGAGGGAATGCACAACAATGTGTTTCGTACTGTACCCACACACACAGAACAGGGCGCTTTGGCTGTGTGTCATTCCATATTAGCCTTCAAGCTTACAAAGGCAAAGCAGAAAGGCAGAGCAAACGCACCAGCAGAAAACATAATGTGACAGTGCTTTAACATCAAAACACAATCATAGCCAGGCACAGGTGAATTCAGTTCCTTATGTCACATCTCAAAGAGACCCCAGTAGCATAGCGCAACAAAACGCCCATCACAATGTTTGTTTACATCAAAACGTATCGTCCTTGTTCGGCAGGTATCAGCTGATATTAGATCATGGTTCTGTAAACCTGTTCCACAGTACGTTAATGTAGGTTTTATCACGCTACGGCCCAATGTAGGACATCTTGTCCAGGACAAAATGTTTGGATAGCAGCCGTGTTAGACAGGGATTCACATTATCGCACAATGTTAGCACAAAAACAATGAGGAAAAACATAAATAAAGCATTATCAGTAACATATTATACCACACATGCAAATATCACATTTTTCTCTCCTCAGTTGCACATTAAGCGAAATTCCAGATTTAAGCAGAGTAGAAAATCGGCAGAACTTTATTGCAGATCTAAGGTTAAATGAATCAAATGTAATCATACCCCACGTCAAACAAACAGAACACAAAGCAACCTGTAAATAACCTGTTTGGATTGATTAGAACTCAAACATGCAGGGCTCTGTGACTCACTGTAATGTATGTAACACAAAGGATCACTCTTTGAAACACCCTTAGAATATTCAAATCAATATTCAAATTTTCAGGCACATTAACTCACAGACCACAACTGTGCAATGTGCGTCCTTTGTTTTGACTAGAGCACTGTGTTCACTGTCTTTATTCTATAGTTAAAGATGTAGCCTCACATCTCCACAGTACTGATATGTGTAAGTTTATGCATGTTCCGATTGTGCACGGTATTGTAGATCAGGGTTCTGTGCAGATATGTTCATGAATGTGCAGTAGTCCTGTGTATATTTAGATAGCTGTGACGTCGCCGATGCCAGGTGAAGCCAGCCATGCTCAGTGACTCACAGCTCACGGAGGCGGTGCCAAGATGCTGTGATCACAACAGTGCAGCAGCGGGCAGCAGACTGGCATCCAGACCCTTGCAGGGACAGAGAGAGATAAAGAAATGGATGGATGGATAGATGGATGGATAGATGAACTCAAAGCTATCTGATGCTGTGCCAAGACTGAGTGGGCACTTAGCAGAACAGCAGTAGGGAAGTAGACAGCGCGCTGGCATTCGCAATGGAAGGAATAGGCATTAATAGATCAGTTGATGTACAGAGATATATGTACTGAAGGTTGAAGAGTTAAGAGGAGGACAAATGACAGATACTGTATGTTTTTTAGGCTTTTTAATTGTGGTAGGATCGGTGACCAGATATTTGTGAAGGGTTGCTGAGATGGAGATTGCCCATGGAGCATTCTTGGAGCCCTCCTGTACTGTTTAATCGGTAGTGTCCCATCAAGAATAGTTTTTTTGTTGTGAAATCGAGCTAACATTCACAAAACCTGTAGAATTTGAAAAAACTGAGATGCAGCAATGTTTACAGTATGCCAGCGCTTTACAAAATACACACTGTTCCCCTGGATTTCACATTATTATGTATTAAACTTCACACTGCATTCAAGGTAATTTTCTATCACATATGTACTCCGTCTAGATGCTGGCTGATTTTGCTTAGCATCTATTTTGGTAGGCTTTTTAAAATGTCAAAATGCAAAATCAGTACTCCTTTGTTTGAGGTGGCTGTATTGGTCAATAATGCTTGACGGTGCTATTGTTATTAATGTTGTTAATAGCTATTTGTGCTATTGCTGTGATTACAGCACTAAATGGCACACCAGAATTTTGTGAAACTGTATTTTTAGAATGTGTGAGACTTGACATTTATAATGGTGGTAAATTTGCATGGTTTGTATTATCCAGCCTAAATTCATTATGTTCAGAAAGGATTTTTGCTCATGTTCTGTAAGCTTTTCCATTTGTGGGAAGAGTTGAATAGGTCAGTTAGATGGCTAGAATTTGTAATTGTTATCCCAGTTAAACTGCTTAACATGCTAGTACAGCACAGTACACAGAGCATATGAATGGTCAGACCAACCAAAATGCAGTATAACAATGATTATAAATGGTGCCACATTACTGAATTGGCCAGCACAGCTGTCAGTAAGCAAGCACCCAAAGCTCCAAGTGTATACCCATTTCTAGGAGGTGTGAATGCAGTGTGAACAAGCCAACCCCTGCCTTCCCTGCATTCCCTCCATGGTGCCCTTGAGCAGAGCATTTAACCTCCACCTGCTCGAGGGGCACAGGAGTGTGGCTGACAGTGGCTTTGGCAACAAAATAGACCAGGGGGATTAAATAGACAGGTGAATTTTGAAGGCAAAGATAGATCTGTATGCCTAAACTTTAAGCATTTTAATGTTAACAGTAGTCACTAAATCTGGTGTTATAGGGCTTTAGGATTATGGTGTTGGGCTGTTGCAAAATATTGTTTAATCTTAATTGGATCTATTAAAAAGAACAAGGTGATCTTCTGAATAATGCTTAGCATACCAGGACTGTCAAGGCCCCAAAAGACTAGACTATCTGTGGCATGTAATATTACTAAAGGGAGCATTCAACACATAATCTGTAATTTAAAGTGCGACATTTTACCACAAAGAAGGAGGTGGTGACGGCTCCCTAGTAGAGACCTGAAGGTCATGAGGTGTGATGATTGTGGGCTAAAGAAGTGAGTGCTGCCCTGACTGAAACTAGTGGGTGGGGTGTCTTCTTTCACTGGTCTGAACCATGCCAGAGCAACATGAAGGTGCAAGTCTACTGTGAGAGACTGCCCCAAGTGTGCCAATTTAGAGCTTTGCACATTCAGCACTCAACTAAAGCAGTAGCTGATTACCTGGCCCAAGTGAGTTGGGAGCAAGACTGGAACAAGAATATTGCCTGGCTTTTTTACATTTCTGAGCTAAAGAAAAGAATTGTTAGCCACTGTATGCCAGGATATTTTACATCAATGCATGGAATCATCCAGAAGTCCCCTGCAGTCCATCTTAGTTTTCTAGTTCAGTTTGTGGAGCCCAGGCTGAGATCTGAGCAGGTGGGCCATGTAGTCTCATGAGTGCATATACAACTCATATACACACTCGTACACACAGTGCGTATATGAGTTAGGATGGAACAGAAGAGAGTCAGAGCTTGAGAATGCCAGCAAACAGACACACTGAGACAGTTTCTGAGGGTTTTTAAGTTGCGTGCATGTGCATGTGGATGAAACGCTACACTGCTACATGAATAGTTCTATGAAAAGTCTTGTGCCTGCTTGTGTGGTTTCTGACACTGTATCACATACTGTATCTCTAAGAATGGACAAAATTACACAAAAAATTCAGGCATCTAGATGGCTGCAACTGTCTTTAGTAGGTGCGCAAAATTTGAATCGGCCAAGATCAGAATTGGCAGATTTTTGTTCCAAATGCATGATGAGCATTTGGGTCAATTTAACGTTTATTTTGGTTCATTTGTTTTGCAATTTTATGATGCAATTAACATGATCAGGAAAGGGCACTTGCACTGTATTTGAATGCTGCTGCTACACCTACACCAAAATGTTGCATGACTCATTGTGCTAAATAGCCAGTTCCCTCTTAGTTTAGATGCAGCACTTTATTTGATTCATGGTATTTAAAGATGAAACTGATTTTTGGTTTAAAGCTGCACTCTAAAAGATTTACTGGTGAAATTGAAAGAAGTAGCATTACTGAATCAGGAGGAGAAATACATACAAAGTTTGGTGTGTGTGCACTGCTGCATGCCTCTCTGTAAAGCCTGAAATAATTATTTAAAAATCAGAGGGGTCAGGTTGGATTTCATAGTATAGGCATGCACTTTGCACAGTGCTACTTGGTGAGGTCTTAGCTTCCGCTCCTTGTTAGCTACATTAACCTTGTAGTTTCAGTGCAAAACTGAAGAAGCAAACTTTGGGCGTCAATCATGTCTTATCTGTGTCACTACATTAGATGTAAGCCGGGAAATTTTGGGAAAGGAGAAATTGGGTTAATTCTTTGCTTATCTATACCTTTAGATTTTAAAGTTGTGTTCCAAATATATATGTGTGTGCTTGTGAGTGTGCATGCATGTTACAGGGATTGAAGATTGATGTGACAGGAAATTTCCAAACTGTGAATTAAGTGTGCTTGTGGCCTGTATTTGTGCTCACATTTGCATGTATGAGTAGGCTGTATTGAAGTCATTTCAATTTTTGTTTTGTTTGTATGTTAAGTCATGTTAGGCTGTGGCCTCCAGGAGATTTCTGGAGATTTCAGGAGATTTTAGGAGATTGGCCTCCAGATTTTTAATGCCAAAACCAGAAAACTACCTTAACACCACCCCTTCACTCAATGAGAGAACAAACATATTTTTATACTATAAATAACTTATTAAATTCTTATTTTCTTTTAGAAATCAAAGTGTTTTAGTAACAAAATAAACTGTATTTTTTTAAATATGTTTTTAAAAACTAAATTTGAAACTGTTTACTTTCTTTATTTGTATACTGTTTTATCCTTTTGGCCCTCAGCCCACCATAGACATTGCACTTTGGACCCCCAAGACACAAAGTTTGGGCACCCCTGTCCTAAGGCCTTTTATTCAGTATTGTTCAGTATTGTTACCAAGTATTTACATGGAATACAGTGCAAACAGTGTA